TTTTATAGTATATCATATTTAGGATTTAGGGTTTAGGGTTTAAGGGTCTAGGATTTAGGGTTTAGGGTTTAGGGGTTTAGGGGTTGAGGGTTTAGGGGTTTAGGGGTTTAGGGTTTGGGGTTTTGGGATCAGGGTTTGGGGATGTGGGATTTGGGTAGGGCACTGAGAGTGTGACGTTCAGATCGTTCCGGTGAATTGTATCTTGAGGATGTGCTGTAGAAGCTTTATAAACCATCACCAAAATTTCCCCTAATAATCTCTCTATAGACACCGTATAGCTTACCACCCAACACCTATCGTAGGTAAATAAGTCCTTATAATACGCAGAACACATCGCTCTTACGCACGCTCGGTTTCCGGACCTTATGACTCAGAAGCTTTATTCAACCCTAAACACTAAGCCGTATATGATTCTAGACATGGAGGTCTCCCAAAATTAGGGGGTAACGTTTAGGGTTTAGGGTTTAGGATTTAGGGCTCAATAATAATGAATACAGTATTTTGGGTCTATATTGGTGTCCCCCTACTTTGGGAAACTACCACATGCATGTTCCTGAACCCTAAACCCCAAACCTTCAGTAGGATCGTCTTGAGCCAGTGACCGTCTCAACAAAAATTCACAATGGAGGTCATCATGCGCGACGCGTCTTACACATGAGCATACCTACTTTGTGGGAGAGTGATTGGTCCCTACATCCTGAACCGTGTGGCTGTAGACGACAGTACGGATGTAATAGGCTCCAGATCCTTCAAGCAGTGCCTGAAACACGGCCTCTGCCTCAGCAACCTTTGTTCCGATGCAAGAATGGAAGCATCCACCAGTTCGACACCCCTCCACCCCTAATGTTAAAAAAAAATCCACCGAGAGATCTTATGTATTTGGGGGGCTTTGGGGCCATCAGAATCCAGGGAGCCGTCCAAGAGTTTCATGGTATAAGTATGAGGTTCCCATACACAGTCAGCTTGAAATTTCGAAAAGCATTGGGCCCAGTTATGTTATTTCGCAAATGCATCAAGATGGATCCCTGACCTTCGACCTGCAATTGAAGCTGGAGCTTATCTATACACAAACCCTGCACCTTAAAATCCTCATTGGATGGTAGTAATAGTAATAGTTATAGCAGCAGCAATAGTAGATGCTGTACCAAACCCACCCGAACAGCCAACTTTACAGCTTTTGATCTGCGGAAACAGTATCGGTCGCATCCCACTTTGTGGCTGCCTCATTGCCGACAAGATGTCAAGCGGGCGGAGATATTCGACGAGGTTGGGCGCACGATATTCGACGAGGTTGGGCGCACGCCCTGAATGCGGCAACAAGATTAAAATTGCCGAGATGGGAGTCCTGAAATCCCCTTTGGACCTATGACAAACACAAGCTTTCTTATCGTCCTTTTAGAGTTATACTAGAATACAAATAAACAAATAAATACATATATGTATATATAATTCCTAAGGGGATCAGAGAACCTGGTCGACATGTTACTAGCACTCGGCTGATGCATGAGACCAGGTTAGAGTTGCAGCTGCCCGAAGCTTTTCATCGATGCTACCCGAAGTAGCCGTACTGTGTGGCACCCATGAAGCCTAACCTGTGGTACCTAAAATTCTTGAGGTAAAACATGGTTGTAGCTTGAATCTTCCCTGCAATTTTTCAGAGCACCTGCTGCTCAAGATCAAGATTGCAAAATGGAGGCATGGAAGGCCTTTGACGATGGCCTTCGGGAGCAGGCTCGAGTAATTCTAGCTAAGTACATGCTCCCATGAGAGAGTAGCTTCTTGTGCCGTGTCATCATGGGAGTTCACCACTTCAACAACCACCTCTAGTCATCATCACCCCCGGAGATACGGCGGCGCCGGCTTCCATCGTCGTCATCCCCGCTGACGATGCGGCGACGACTGCCACCGTCATCATCGCCCTTGAAGATGCGGCGGCGGCTGCTGCCATCGTCATCATCGCCCTTGAAGATGCGGCGGCGGCTGCTGCCATCGTCGTCATCGCCCTTGATGATGCGGCGGCGGCTGCTGATGATGCGGCGGCGCCGGCCACCATCATCGTCATCCGTTGGGTGCTTCCGTGTGGTGGTAGTAGGGAACGGAGTTGTGGTTGTGGTGAAGAAGGGGCAAGTAGGATTGACTGGAGGGAGCCCGGGAGTCGTCGTGGTCGTGGTTTTCGGAGGAGGTCCATAGAACTTTCCACACTCTGAACAGTAGTTGTCCAGTCCAGGCTTGAGCTTATGGACGAACTTCGAGTGGCACCGGTGGAGGCACCAGTACAACTGCGCCTTCTCCAACTTGAATCCGTAGCAGATCTTGTTGCACATGAAGGTCTGATCCACGCACTTTGGCTTGTCATCATCATCGAAGCTGTCGTCGTCCTTCGGGGCATGGAACTTTCCGTTGTTCAAGCATCTGTCTTTTTGCCTATTACTTGATGGCGGGTACTAATTCCGTTGGGTGCCCATTCTTATCCCTATAAACCCCTATATAACCCCAGTTTCCATTTAATTTTCCATGTTCTTTTCCATTTGATTCTCCATTATAGGGGTATGGGAAACCCTGGACCCTGATCCCTCAACCTCATATACCCTATATACTCTTTTTTCTCAACACCCTAAACCCTAAACCCTAAACCTCATGTTTTATCCGGGGGCGGGAGCTCCTCCGCATTGCCTATGCGGTTGGATACGCCTAGGGTTTAGGGTTTATAGGGTTTACATACCTACAGAATCTAATAACATAGGTAGTGTCCCGAAATAATGGGACCCCAAAATAAATTTTGATCCTTAGTATAGGGAGCCCCCAACTTTCGGAAACCCTAAACCCTGAACCTTTTTTAAGCCCCTAAAAGGGGTTCCCCCATATTCACCCAGAGACATTCTTCCTATAGGCCCAAGAACTCCCGACACTCCACCTGCCCGTCTAATCGCGGTTTAGGGTTCAATGGTTTAGGGTTTAGAGGTTTAGGGTCCACGGCTTGGTGGTTTAGGGCTTACTGGTTTAGGGTTTTGGGATTTAGGGTTTAGGGCCTAGTGGTTTAGGGTTTAGGGATTTAGGGCTTTAGGCACTTAGGGTTAAGGGGTTTTAGGGGTTTAGGGTTTACTAAGGCTCCCCTGGACCAATTACTGGATCTCGAGGCCCTTGACGCGGAAGGCAATTTTTCTCAAAAGGGAGGCACCTAGCGACCCTGGGATAGGTAGGAGTCCATTAGAAACACGGTTTAGGGTATAGGGTTTAGGGTTTAGGGTCCTGGGTTTAGGGTTTAGGATCTCGGGTTCAGGGTTTAGGAGGAGATGCCTATGAAAAATCGATACAACTTTCACAGGCCGAAGCATTAAAACCCAACCCTGGGAATGAAATCCAGCTGCAAACAAGTACTACCTACCTCACGAGCTTCAACTGGTACAATCTCCCAGGATACGCTTCTTAAAGAAATCACAAGAAATAATTGGATCATTCTCGTGCAAGCTAAAGGAAGCAAAGCCAGATGAACAACAGCTGGTACCCAGCCCCCACCCTTGAGACGTCATCCTTTGGGAAAATTCGGCGACGGCTGCCATCATCGTCATCGCCCCTGATGATTCGGCGACGGCTGCTGCCATCGTCATCATCGCCCTTGAAGATTCGGCGGCGGCTGTTGCCATCGTCGTCATCGCCCTTGAAGATGCGGCGGCGGCTGCCACCATCATCGTCATCCGTGGGGTGCTTCCGCGTGGTGGTAGTAGGGGCCGGGGTCGGCTTCGTGGTGGTAGTAGGGGCCGGGGTCCGCGTGGTGGTAGTAGGGGCCGGGGTCGGCTTCGTGGTGGTAGGGCGCGCTGTTGTGGTTTTGGTGAAAACCACCCTTCGTGAGGTTGACCTTCGTGAACGAGAGGAGGTGGACCTTCGTGATCGAGAGGAAGTCGACCTTCGAGAGGAGCTTGATCGCCGGGAAGAGGTTGATCGACGACTTCGCGAGGAGGTGGACCTTCGGCTGCGAGAGGACCAGACAGTGGAGGACCTTCGAGATCGAGAGCT